ATCGCAGAACGTGGATTTGGCACCATCATCGGAACTACTCGCAAACTAATGCTGGGCGCACCGCACCTTCCCAGCCAGCTGTGGGCTGAAGCATTCCAGACCGCCAGTCTCAAGAATCGCACACCAACTGAAGTCCTGGGCGGCAAATCCCCACTCGAGGTATGGGAGGGTAAGCCGCTAGGTAATCTGCTGCACATTCACGAATGGGGTTCGATGGCCTTCAAACACGAGGAAGCGCGTTTCCGTCCCAACAAGCTTGCGGCCAGGGCCAAGAAGATGTATCTGGTAGGCTATAATACCAAGGGTAGGTCGTACAGACTGTGGGATCCTACGGAGCCTTCTAAAATCACCAACTCTGCCGAAGTATCCTTCCGTAAAAAGGAGATGCGCGACGTGGTTGACCCCAAAGTAGGGCGCGATCCGTTTCCTGTGCCAAACACGACAATCTACCAGCCTGGTATGGCAGAATCTAACGAAGAAGAAACTAACGACGATAGCGATGAAGAAGAAGACCAAAGTACTGCAGAGTCGACACCATCTGTTCCAGAACCACGACGGAGCGCCAGGGCATCTGCACCGCCGCAAAGGTTGAATCTATTTACGGTGACCTTGGAAGAGGATGCTTATCAGCAGGTGGAACAAGCTCTTCTGACAGGGGGTGTACTCGGAAACGTCGGGACGGGCAACCCTGGAGAAATAGGTTGCAGGCCTCCCGACCCGACCAACTACGACGACGCAACACGTGGACCAGATGCTGACCACTGGAGGGAGGGTATGCGCGAAGAAAATCTTTCGCTCAAGGAACTCGACGTACACGATTGGGTGAAACGGCCGGCGGANTACAGGCCTCCCGACCCGACCAACTACGACGACGCAACACGTGGACCAGATGCTGACCACTGGAGGGAGAGTATGCGCGAAGAAAATCGTTCGCTCACGGAACTCGACGTATACGATTGGGTGAAACGGCCGGCGGACGGTGATATACTTCCGTCAAGATACCTATACAAACGGAAGTACGCAGCAGACGGAGAACTAGCTCGACTGAAGAGTCGTATCGTGGTCCAAGGCTTCCATCAAGAAGACACGGGGGAAGACAAGGCATCATCAGTGGTGACATTGGAGGCGGTACATCTAGTAGTCGCCGTCGCTGCTCAGAATGGCTTTGTTCTAAAACAGGCTGACATCAAGACAGCGTTCCTACATGCCAGGATCCCCGCTAACGCAGACCCGATTTATGTTTGTCCTCCGAAAGGTTTCGAATGCTCTCCAGAACAAGCACGGCAGGTGTGGCGGCTAAAGGTATGGCTCTACGGATTGCGTCTCTCCCCGAAAGGCTGGTGCAGCACCTTCCACGAGTTCCTGATTAAGAAAGGGTTCGTACAGAGTAAAGCAGACCCCTGTCTCTACATTCTCGAAGCGGAAGGAGTTATCCTTGTCGTGTACGTTGACGACATCCTGCTGTCGGGGAAGGACGAGGAGAAGGTCATGATGGTCGTTGATCTGCTGAAGGAACGGTTCAACACGGTGTTCTTGGGGGATGCTCAGCACCTGCTTGGTATGAAGCTTGAGAGGAACGTCGACGCCGGTACCATATTCCTTTCTCAAGAGACGTACGCAAAGACCGTGCTCGACCAGTTCGGAATGGCCGAATCGCGCCCGGTGAAGACACCGGCGGAACCTGGACCTATCAGCATCGAGGAGGAGAAGGTTTTATCTCCAGAGGACACCAAATACTACCGGTCCGCCACGGGTAGCCTTCTGTATCTCAGCAGGGGCTCAAGACCGGACATAACACACTCGGTGATGGTGCTCGCGAAGAGAATGTATGGGGAAGCCAGGTCCCAGAGCGATGACAAAGCTGAAGCGGGTACTCCGGTGTCTAAAGGAAGGACCTCTATCGGAATCACATACACCGAAGACGCCGACGGCGGAGATAAACTCAAGGCGTACGTGGACTCTGATTTTGCAGGTGGCCAAGACAAAGGCTACTCCACAACCGTTGCCGTTCTCTATCTGGCAGGTGCCCCAGTGGACTGGATATCCAAGAAGCAAACGGTGCTGGCCATCTCAACGTTCGAGGTTGAAGCCGTTGCCCTTTCCAAGGCGTGCACTATTGTCATCCACTTTCGTAATTTGCTGAAGTCGCTGAACATGAAGCGGGAGCAGCCCACGGTAGTGTTTGAGGACAACACAGGCGCTATAGCGTTTGCTAAGGGCGCCAAACTCAGGCCCCGTACTAAACATATCGACGTCAAGTATCACCACGTTCGGTACTTAGAGGAGAAGAATATCGTCGACGTGAGGTACATGGAGACTAACTTGCGAAGGCTGACATCCTGACTAAAAGCCAGGGAGCTGTGAAGTTCCTCCAGAACCGCCTTCTCTTGCTTGGAGTGTAAACACCTCCCCATTACCGAAATCAGACATTATGTCTCAAGGGTTGGATGGTGCATGAAAGTTGTTTGTAGAATAACAAAAGTTGGAAAGTAGAAGAACATTTCGATGCAATCAATGAGTACATATTTAGGAGTTGGTTCGAGAGCATGCACTCACGTCGATAGCACATTTGTCGAGAGGACACTGGTATTGTTTCGAGAGGACATTGCGATTGAGAGAATTTCGTGTCTCATGTATCAGGGCTGGAATGACGTAGTTCTTGAGAGGACATGTTGGGAGAATTGTGTGCAAGAACTGACTCTATTCTACTGCAGGGTTTGGTGCAGTATGGTGAAGGCGTGTATCCAAGTCTGTAACCGTCAGGTGAAGACAGCTTGGACGCCGATGTGTGAAATAATGATTACTCTGTGTTTCTCTACCCGAGCCTCTTGCGTCACATACGCCAACCACAACGTACAACAGCGGTGAGGTCCCGCTAGTACGCCCAACAGTCCCTTTTTTTCCTCGCTCTTTTTATTTCATTTTCTCTTTCCTTACTGTTTCCATTTCTTTTCTTCTCTTTTTCTCTTGTTGTGTGCCAGATGGCCTTGTCTCTGCTTGCGTTGTTATGTACCAAGATTGAACCAAGTTNGAGTGTACCTTTTTTAGGGTAAGTTAGCCTGCGACCACGGGAATCGACCGCGTCGAGTGTTGTATCAGTACGGACATACGAAGGTACTGGGTAGAGAGAGATCGGAACGGTTTTTAATGTGAAGACAACAACAACAACAACAACAACAACGATGGGGTCAGCAGCACTCGCGCCATCAAAAGACGGCAACAGCGACGATTGGGAATCGTCGGCTGTCGACCCGAAAGCCGAAGCACTGTGTGGAGACACCAGCGAGCGAGAACACTCTGAGGGCTCTGGACTGGCCGAAGCCGAGCCCGAGGAGTCGACGCGAAGTTGAGACATACCGATCAGCGAGCCCAAGCTAAGTTGTGTGGAGACGAAAGCGAAGAAAGCTGCGTGCAGCAGGCTCGAGTCGCCCAAACACGAACGAACCCCAGAAAGCACGCTGTACGTTTATGCCGACAACGCCAAGTGTAAGGGATATGAACGCGCCGTGCAATCTGGGAGACCCGTGAAGACGAACTCACTTGTTATTAACTCGTGTGGAACAGCAGTAGCTGTTGCCAAAGGAAGGTAGAGGACTGACTAGGATGCGGCCAGGATCAGCTACTAAAGTAGGGGCTACTAGATCCTATCCCCTGTTTTGTCCTTCCGTGGGGAGTTGCATCTCCCACACTTTTCTCTGGGCGTTAGCCCGCACTACCATTTGTACTTTCCTTCACATTCAAATCCCAAAACAACAAGGATTAACGTGCGGAACGGCACACCTGCACGGGAACAAGAATCGTTCAGGGCGTCACGGGCTCTCGAGGTGGGAGCATGGAAACGTTGGCCCGTTCACAACTGGCACTCATTCTGCCTGTTTCACGTGCCGGCCACACTCACTTCAGAGTGCATCATCATGTGGTTTAGTCTCCCGCCCGTTTTTACCCAAGCGCGTCACGTCTCAAAAGATACCTACCGGTTGTTCTATCAGATCTCCCTGTTGTTGTTCGGTGGCTACCAAGTCTACAAATCTTGCCTGACGCTAGAAAGAAGAGAACGGCATGCTCCGGGTTCGAACAGATTAGAACAACCTTGTGGTTGAAGGTGGCAAGGAAGTAGGAACAGGGGGTGGCAGTGTCGGGGGTCTGGGGGAACATGGGCTTGAATGGGGATTGCCTCAGAAAGAGCAAGACGGCGGATGTTTTTCTCTTGGTGTGACCGGTGGNGCGTGCGACAGCTTTAACCTAACCACTTCGGTGGAAAGCGGATTTCTGTTCAATACGGTGTCAGGGGTACCAGGGAAGACGGGGCCGAGTTTTGTTTGGGTGGATGAGGTTGGGGTTTTGTTCGTTTTTCTCCAAGGTTCGTGCCTAGAGTTCAGCTGTAGTGTTTCGACAAAAGTTTTGTTGACTTAGAGGCAAACATTCCTAGCTATTGGGCATCGAGTTAATTTGGCTTGGCATGACGGCCTTTACGATCGACTTTTTATGTATGTCTGCATTTATCTGCAATTGTCGGAGGGCAAACAAAATAATAATAAATTAGAACAAGATACCGTCACGTCGCCATCGTATACAAACCATTTCCAGCTTTCCTTGGCTGCGGCTGTTCAAAATTGCCACAGAAAATAAGACTGCGAAGCGAAGGTTTCGGATCTTTCTGGTCTGCGTAGATCGCGACCAACAAGTCGGCCTTCACATGCATCGGTTGATTCAATTATTGCATCAAAACGTTCACTTTTTCCCTTGGCCCCTTTCAGATGGACACAACAAGTGAAATCATTTCAGCTATTTTAAAGGAATGCCCGCCCGACGGTGGCTTGCCTCCTAGATGTAGTAGATGTAGATTCTGCCGTAGACACTCTTGTCCACGAGCACGTTGAGATGGGAANCGTCCCCCATCTTAATCTAGACCGACTGTGTACCCTATCTGTGCCATACAGCAACACTCCTTAACACTAGCCCACCCTGAAGATCATCTATACAGATTTATTTATTTATTTATTTTTGCCTTCCGACAATTGCAGATGTTGTTGTTGTTGACTTCACATTAAACCGTATGCCAGTTGCTAGATGCCAAAATCTAGCAAAGACTCTC